CCACACCCACACCCACACCCACACCCACACCCACACCCACACCCACACCCTTAAAAGAGCTCTATCAATCTCTCTAATGTGTCGTCTCTTTAAATACTACTTGACTTTTGCATACGAAATTATTAATGAAACCGTATTCTGTGGATTCGTACTGACTGAGTCTGATACATAGGCATCTTTCTTGATAATAATCAACACCGAATAATTCGTCTGATCGAAGTTATTTCTCTGATGTATTGAGATGTCAAATCTATCATTTTTTTTAAAGAAACGTTAGTATATAATATCTTTCTTTATTTTTATTTACGTCTACTGTTAAATTTTTCATGCATAGCTAGTGGCAATAAAAAAATGCTTCCTCCGTTCTGTCACATGACTTATTTTTTCTTGAGTTACCGGTTACTGCTAAGAAACATAACATGCGCATGACTCGACAGATCTTTTAATGAAGCATAAAAAATAAGAAAAAAAACAAATCGACATTTTGTTTTTCTCTCGTGTAGTAAAAATGCGATACTAAAAATTTGGTTTACTAAGAAAGAATTATTATAATTATATCGATGGCATCGGTCGAAGAAAAAGTTGTTGGAAATCCGAATGCATACAAAATAAGACAAATTTACGCAAAAAATAATACATTCGACGATGTAACATTAATTTGGCTCGATGCTCATATTAACGAGAGTAGTGATTGTTTACGAGCTAAAGATCGTTTACGTCTAATCGTTAACGTTTTGAAGACTTTCAATGACATAGAAACATGTATTACATATATTAAATCAGTTGATGATGAGGATGAACCATTATGCGTGGTTGTATCCGGAGCGCTGAGTGATGCTTTCATACCACAAGTGATTGATCTACCACAAGTGGTTTGCATAGCTGTCTACTGCTTTGATGAGTCAACCTACAGAAGCAAATTTGATAAACACGCTGACCAGTCTCCTAAATTTGTAGGAGTTTTCGTGAAGCTTGATCTATTACTCGAAGTCCTGAACAAGAAAATGACACTGTTGCGTAATCCACTATCAACTATTTCACTACTCACATATGAAGGTGATGATCGACGACAAAAATCTGTAAAAGATTTGTCCCGTGAAAACGCTACTTTTGTCTGGTTTCAACTTCTCATTCATACGATTTTTCGATTACCACGAACTGATGCTGCACGAAGAGAAATGATTCGTGAGTGTGAACGACAATACAGTAGAAATTCAGCACAATTGAATAAGATTAAAGAATTTCACGAAACGTATAAGCCTAGTGATGCCATTCCTTGGTACACACGCGATTCATTCGTTTATAGAATCATTAATCGAGCGTTACGTACACAAAATATTCATATTATTCTACAATTTTATCCATTCATTGCTGACCTTCATGATCAATTGACCATTTTACACAAGGACTTTCTTGACTCAGAACCAGCACAAATGCTTACTGTTTACCGAGGACAAAAGATTCATGTCGATGAACTAAAGAAAATTACTCAGAATGTGGGTCGGCTTCTATCAATGAATTCATTTTTTTCAACTGGCACTGACCGTCAACTAGCACGTTTTTTCGCTGGAGATTCCACTCAAATAGGCGATCCACTTGTTTCGACTCTTTATGAAGTCTATATTGACACTACGGTACCAGCTGCACCGTTTGGCAACGTTAGCAAATATAGCCCGTTTCCTGATGAGGATGAATATCTTTTTTCTATCGGTGCTATCTTCCGAATCGAATCAGCTGAGGAAATGGCCGATGATCTTGGCAAATTGTGGCTCGTTCGCATACGTTTAGTTGACGAACACCGTGAACAAGAACTTGATGATCTTTTCGAACATTTGAAATCGCAAATCGGTGAAACAAGCTCTCTTCTTGTGCTGGCTGCATTCCTTTTCCGGATGGATGACATAACTGGTGCAGAACGATACTATATATTACTACGAGATGAGTTGCCCGAAGATGATCCGGATCGACCGATCGTATTGAATAATCTTGGGCAGATTGCTCATAAAACGAATCGAATTCAGGAAGCTCTCGATCTGTACAAACAAGCATTGCAACACTACGCCAAAGATGCTGTGCCGCGACTGTATCTCATGGCGAATACATATGGTAATATTGCATCGATTCATTATTCGAATGGTGACTACGAGAGGGCTGAAGTTGACATAAGAAAAGTTCTCGAGTTGCAAGAATATTGTCTAGATTCTAGCAATGAACTATTTATTACAAGTCGAAATAACCTTGGTGCCATCTTTCAGGGACAAGGAAAACTTGATGAAGCCCTCGAACAATATCAAAAAGCACTAATATTATGCCAACGCGTTTTCAAAACGGAAAATCACCCAACACGAGCTGTAACCGAAGGAAATCTTGGTAACATTTATGATTCACTAGGCAGAAAACGTGAAGCTATCGATTGTTTTGAACGATCCCTCGCTATTTACAAGCGTTGTCTTCCGTCTGGACATTATTCATTGGTCAGTAGTCATGCGAATTTAGGACATATGTATATTGAGATTGGTGATTATGAAAGAGCTCTGAACCATCTTGAAAGTGCTTTGACCATTGAAAAACAAGCTGATCACGGTACTCAGAAAAATCCAATGTCACTTGCAAATATACTCGATGGATTCAGCTTAGTATACCTGCGACAGAATAAACTCACTCAGGCACTCGGCTACTGTAATCAAGCATTGAAAACTTTGCCAAAAGATCATCCGAACAGGGCTTTTACTTATAGACAACTGGGTGCCATTTACAGACAAATGGGCATTTATCAACTGGCAAAACGAGCATACCACGAAGCAATTGCTGCCAATCCAAATAATGAAATTACACTGGCAGAAAATCTTCACTCGCTTGGTTTAGTTCAATCTGATGAAGGAAAGCACGAAGAAGCCATGATTTCATATAATCGTGCTCTAGAAATTCGAAAACGATTGTTCCCACCTGTCCATCCTGCTATTGGTAAACTCTACAATGAAATGGGTGGTACATATCTTTCAATCGGACGTTTAGAAGAGGCCTTAGAACACTTTCAAAAAACAAAAGCTATTGAAGAAGAGTCCTTGCCAGAAAATCATATAGAACGAGCACGTACTTTAAATAATATCGGTGTCACACTATTCAAGCTAGATAGACCTGAAGAAGCACTCCCATTTGTGGATAAAGCAGTTGCAATATCTTGCAATCTACTACCTGATACTGATTCACTTCGTATCATGTTTCAAAAGACGGCTGATATTGTGCGCAAGAGAGTTGACACTGGTAGTTGCGAAGGTGTCAGTGTTGGCGTGAAATAACTCGTCAAAATTGAAAAAGAAGATGCTGGTCTCTGAACATGTCAAATACTTATTCTAACAGTATTACTTTCATTCGAAAATGAGCCTATACTCCAGTCCCTCAATCTCTGAGCTACAAAAACAGAAATCAATAAAGAAAAAAAATAATTTCAGTGCGCTAGAAATACTTATCGATAGTGGAATTTCGTAGTTTTTGGCTGTCGGTATGGCTGTGGGTGTGG